GGACCAGCAGTGTCATTTGACTTAACAAACGAGGATCGGATGTCGTCAACCTTCTTTTCAAAATGGTTGACGAAGTCATCCACAGAGAGGGAGGAGGGGGGGGGGGGATTCAGCAGGGAGGAGAATGTGGCAAAGAGCTTCCTAGGGTTAGAGGCAGATGCTTGGAATTTAGAGTGGTAGAAAGTGGCCTTAGCAGCAGAAACAGATGAAGAAAATGTAGAGAGGAGGGAGTGAAAATATGCCAGGTCCGCAGGGAGTCTAGTTTTCTTCCATTTCCGCTCAGCTGCCCGGAGCTCTGTTCTGTGAGCTCGCAATGAGTCATCAAGCCACGGAGCTGGAGGGGAGGACCGAGCCGGCCGGGAGGATAGGGGACATAGAGAGTCAAAGGATGCAGAAAGGGAGGAGAGGAGGGTTGAGGAGGCAGAATCAGGAGATTGGAGGGAGAAGGATTGAGCAGAGGGAAGAGATGATAGGATGGAAGAGGAGAGAGTAGCGGGAGAGAGAGAGCAAAGGTTTCGACGGCGCATTACAGATGGGTCAGGGGAAAAATTGAGAATGTCCACTTGGGAGAGATGAGGATTCCTGTGCCACCACCCCGCTGACCAGATGCTCTCGGGGTATGCGAGAACACATGGTCAGACGAGGAGAGAGCAGCAGGAGTAGCAGTGTTTTCAGTGGTAATCCATGTTTCCGTCAGCGCCAAGAAGTCGAGGGACTGGAGGGTAGCATAGGCTGAGATGAACTCTGCCTTGTTGGCAGCAGAACGGCAGTTCCAGAGGCTGCCTGAGACCTGGAACTCCACGTGGGTCGTGCGTGCAGGGACCACCAGGTTAGAGAGGCAGCAGCCACGCGGTGTGAGGCGTTTGTGTAGCCTGTGCGGAGAGGAGAGAACAAGGATAGGCAGAGGCATAGTTGACAGGCTGCAGCAGATGGCTACAATAATGCAGAGGAGATCGGAATGAACACTGCTTTGGTTACTACATGATTCCAAATGTGTTATTTCATAGTTTTGATGTCTTCACTATTATTCTACAATGTAAAAAAATTGAACAATTAAGAGAAAGCCTTGAATAAGTAGGTGTTTCCAAACTTTTGACTGGTAGTAGTTTATGTAAATCTAGAACTTCTGCCACTTGACTCTTTCTTTATTGACTGAAGAGAATGTTTAATTTAAAAAAGGGTGACAAAAAGGCTTCTTATTTCTACAGATATATATATGAAAAAACATGTTCTATGTTCTGCACAGCACTTGTGGCTGCACCAGAAATATTATGAAAAAAAGATTTTGAGAAAGATCTGTCTCCTTCCTCCTCTTTAAAATATACCATCTGACACAAACACATTTGGAGACATTACGACAGGCAGTGCGTGATTATCTTGTTTTTATCAAGCTACCTCCTAGTATGAGACAAAAGTAACAGCCTAATAACCACCATGCCCAGGACTCTGGATCAAAACAAGCTCTTTTGGGTTGCATCCCAAATGGCACCCTATTCCCTATATACAGTTCATTCTGAAAGTATTCAGAACCCTTGACTTTTTCCACATTTTGTTATGTTACAGCCTTATTCTAAAATTGATTAAATCATTTTTTCCCCCTCATCCATCTACACACAATACCCCATAATGACAAAGTAATAACAGGTTTTTAGACATTTTTGCAAATCTATTAATAATAAAACACTATAATATTACATTTACATAAGTATTCAGACCCTTTACTCAGTACTTTGTTGAAGTGCCTTTGACAGCGATTACAGCTTCGAGTCTTCTTGCATATGACTCTACAAGCTTGGCACACCCGTATTTGGGGAGTTTCTCCCATTATTCTCTGCAGATCCTCTCAAGCTCTGTCAGGTTGGATGAGGAGCATCGCTGCACAGCTATTTATTTTCAGGTCTCTCCAGAGATGTTCGATCGGGTTCAAGTCCGGCCTCTGGCTGGGCCACTCAAGGACATTCAGAGCCTTGTCCCGAAGCCACTCCTGCGTTGTCTTGGCTGTGTGCTTAGGGTCGTTGTCCTGTTGGAAGGTGAACCTTCACCCCAGTCTGAGGTCCTGAGCTCTCTGGGGCAGGTTTTCATCAATTATCTCTCTGTACTTTGCTCTGTTCATCTTTCACTCAATCCTGACTAGTCTACCAGTCCCTGCCGCTGAAAAACATCCCAACAGCATGATGCTGCCACCGCCATGCTTCACCGTTGGGATGGTGCCAGGTTTCCTCCAGATGTGACGCTTGGCATTCAGGTTAAAGAGTTCAATCTTTGTTTCATCAGAGCAGAGAATCTTGTTTCTCATGGTCTGAGAGTCCTTTAGGTGCCTTTTGGCAAACTCCAAGTGGGCTGTCATGTGCCTTTTACTGAGGAGTGGCTTCCGTCTGGCCACTCTACCATAAAGGCCTGATTGATGGAGTCCTGCAGAGATGGTTGTCCTTCTGGAAGGTTCTCCTATCTCCACAGAGGAACTCTGGAGCTCTGTCAGAGTGACCAATGGGTTCTTGGTCACCTCCCTGACCAAGGCCCTTCTCCCCCGATTGTTCAGTTTGGCCGGGTGGACAGCTCTAGGAAGAGTCTTGGTGGTTCCAAACTATTTCCATTTAAGAATGATATACAGCACTGTGTTCTTGGGGACCTTCAATGCTGCAGACATTTTTTGGTACCCTTCCCCAGATCTGTGCCTTGACACAATCCTGTATCGGAGCTCTATGGACAATTCCTTCGACCTCATGGCTTGGTTTTTGCTCTGACATGCACTGTCAACTATGGGTGTGTGCCTTTCCAAATCATGTCCAATCAATTGAATTGACCACAGGTGGACTCCAGTCAAGTTGTAGAAACATCTCAAGGATGATCAATGGAAACAGGATGCACCTGAGCTCAATTTCGAGTCTCATAGCAAAGGGTCTGTATACTTATGTAAATAAGCTGTTTTTTTATATTTAATACATTTGCAAAAACGTATAAAAACCTGTTTTCGCTTTGTCATTATGGGGTATTGTGTGTAGATTGATGAGGAAAAAAAACGATTTAATCAATTTTAGAATAAGGCTGTAACGTAACAAAATGTGGAAAAGGAGAAGGGGTCTGAATACTTTCCGAATGCACTGTAGTTCACAGATTTTGACCAGAGCCCATGATCTGATCAGAAGTAGTGCACTAGCTCTATACTTCAGACAAGTCATTTTGCATGATTTCACTTATTCATAATTAATTCATAATTAACTTTTGCTTCATTCATGTGACCGACCAATAGTGGGTCATGCATGTGACAGACCAATACCTCACGAGGCTTCTTCTCTAAGCTGAGACCTTGAAACTGAGATATCAAAACAATGGTCTGGGCGTACAGTCACTTGCATGAACACAGAAATTATTTTATAGAAAAGCACAAACATAAAAATGTCCATCACATTCCATCCTCTTATCCCTTGTGTGATAATAATCATTACATTTTTATGCAAGCATTAGATTTAAGTTTCTATCAATAGGAGGTTCTATCAAATTACATCATTATAATAAATCATAATAAAGGTTATACTTCTATTAACTACATCATTATAATGAATCATAATAAAGCTAAAATCTAGAATCAAAAGGTTATAATCAACAGGAGTGAGTATCAAAGATACACACACATACACAAGGGATCTGTTGATTCAGAGGTGAATAAATCTCTCAATGTTAACCATTGTTTCCATATCTCTTACCACAATCGGGTTGGATTGACGTATGTTTTTCACTAACTGTGATGGAGTGTGGAAGTGGTATTGTTATGGAATAGGTTAGGTAGTTTAGTTCTTAGGAGCACAATTAGACCCTACACTACCACTTCCACACTCCATCACCAGGTGGCACTCCATCCTGGCTGTACCAGGAAGTCTTGATTGTGCACAGGTGTGGGCAATCAGAGGGTGTGGCAGCTTGCAGAGCCGTGAGGCTGCTGGAGTTTGATGGCCATTTTGTTTCCTTTTTGCATATATTTATTTTAGTCACCATGAACTGAACACACAATAATCCTTTTGGGCTGGCTGACCAAGAGTCAAGACAGAGCTGGCTCTGGACCCTGATAAGGTTGCCGTCTCTTGGGGCATATGCATACAACACAGTCTGCATACTCTGACTTCTCACGTAAACGCACACAATAAATCAGGTAACAGACCCCTAGCAATATCAGTAGGCAAGCTAGCTGATTTCTTAATACATGTGCAAATTAGACATGTTTGTTAAACGGAATCACTTTCAGAGATGCAATCTTCCTCCCTGAGAAACTACATAGGGCAACCTGTCCCATTCTATTGATATCAATATCTTTACAAATGTTGATGATATATTTGACCTGAATGAACTCTTAGGAGAATTACTTACACTGAAAAGGTTACTTAAAGATGAACTATGCAGAACTCGCTTCGTCATTTCCTGGTTGCTAAACTTCTAATAGTTCGCCTAATTTCAGTTTATGTGACAAAACAAGCAAGTATAGTGTAGAGAATCATTGTACCATCTAAACCGCTGTAAAATATATTTTCAATAACCAAAAATATAGTATTTTCACCTGTTTTGAAGCTGGTGTACAAAACCGAATGTAAGACACAAAAACAAAACTTTAGAACGGGAAGCATAGAAATAAGGCACATAGAACAGATCTACCGCTTCTTAGATTTGCTTTCAATGAGAATGACAGATCTATAACTCACATTTCTATGTGAAACTGGTCGGGTCACCCAAAAATGTACATATTTCAGCTTTAATACGATGCCAATCTTTTTTGATACACAACGTTCAATTGACACATTATGGAACATACAGAAGAAGATAGGTGTAAGACTTTGACCGCTGTAAAACGCACAGAAAACACAGGGGGCCTAAAAGATAAACATAGACACAATTGAGATGCGAATGTGGATATTTATGGTATGGTTAATAAATTGAGTGAAATACGGTTACGGTCAGAGAACCGTTAGGTTGTGTGTTTGAATGAGTGTGAGTGTGATGATGTGGTGAGCCTAGGCCAGCTCCAGGTTGTGTCTCCTGCTGGAGTTGGTGAGGGGGACCACGGCGCCAGAGGACACGTCAGTCAAGGGGGCGGAGGTGAGCCGGCCGCGGGTCTCCAGGCTGCGCTGCTCCAGTGAGAGGGCGTCCTGCTTACGGGACAGATCCTCCCCCATATGGGCCTGGTGCAGCTGGAGGGCCTGGAGGGAGTGCCTGGGGGAGGAAGAGGAAGAGGAGGGGAAAGGAGGAAGATAGACATGGGACATGCTATTGGCATGGGATGGATCATTCCCATTTTGTTCATAAGAATCAATAGTTGTCTGAGTACATTCAGAAAGAGATTACTCACTGAGCCTGGGCCAGTTTCTGTTTCAGAGCCAGAATGGTGGCTTCCAGCTGATTTGCTTCATTCACAAGCCCATACTGAACCTGGGTCAAACACAACAAGCTGATAAGGTCCCGTTTTAACCTGTTGACCTCTCCAATACAAAATTCCAGTTAATTCTTACAATTGTTTTACAGTACAGTAGGAAAAAAACACATTTACACGACCACAAAACCTATTGAATATGACAGTATCTCTAAATGGGCCAGTGCCCGTCCAGGTGTAGCTTACCTCGTCCCTACAGAGATCCACTCCAGGCCTCTTGGTCCTGTTCTCCAGCCGGGTGTGGACCAGCTTCAGTGGGGCCATCGTAGCCTGAAGATCGTCTTCTAGACTACGGATGTCCCTCTCCATATCTGAGATCTCATCCTGGGTCTGACAAACAAACAGACATCCATATGATCCTGGCTAGGGCTGTGGCGGTCATGAAATTTTGTCAGCCGGTGATTGTCAAGCAAATAACTGCCGGTCTCACGTAATTGACCGTTAATTGACCGTTAATTAACATCTCCTGGCTTCCACACATAGCCTACAAGCCACTGATGCAGACCTTTGGAACATCTACATTTTAAAATCCATGTAATATAGCCTACACCATCACAATAAATCCATTATTTATTTTAGACAGAAACATGATATGAAGAAAATGTAGTCTATTTCAGAAGAACCGAATAGCATACTCTTGAGTTGTCCTTATGTTAGGCCCTGATCTGGCTAAGCCATATGGCTAGTTCATTTAGCAGACAAGATTTGCTTAGAATTCAGTGGCATTATTTTATATTATTTTATAGTATGAAGAATACAATTGAACATAGCTGAATAAAATAGAAAGGATATTTTCTCCAAACCATTTGAGGGAGTGCGCACATGCGGTTATTCTGTGTTGAGCGGTTAACAAAGAAACAGGTACTCCTATATGCTTAATTTAGAGTTATTTATGTAACTTTAGTTGCGATACAAATGTTGGGCTATATGTTTTGATGTTTAATACATTCTAAGGCTGCATGATGTGTCTCTTAATGATTATTTGAAAAAAGTTGCATGAAAGGCATGAGCTCTGCTTTGTTTTTTTTTGCGCGGGCTGTACACACACTTCATCAGTCTCTCATTCAAATTTGACAAGCACTTGATAATGCCTTGAACTTTCCCGGCGGCATCCCCTTTGAGTGGCCATAATGCCCCCTAAAAAAATCCATGCCTTTTGTGGCCAGTGGCCGTTGTGCCCTTGGGCTGAATATAATCATTATAATTCCCTTCTCCCGGCTGCGTGCTCCGAAGCACCTCTCACTCACATGGCTCACAGTCACGTGATCGGGTCTTTCTCACAGGCTACAAGTGAAGACAGACACATCGGGGACGCAACTGCACGCGTCCTTATCCAATTCCGAGGTGTATATTGAAGATATTGGAATAACTGTCCACATTTACTTTTCGTCAGCCAAAAAGATGAGTAGGCCCAACAAATAGCAAAGGCACTAGCCTACATCAATTTACTATCCCCCATAGTACAAAAGTTGACCTATTCTGTGCGAGAATTAAATATTCCAAACATAGTCTGGGACAGTTGTTGGGTGAGATAGATCCCAAATTAATACAACCACTAGCATCCCAAAAACGTTTTTTGGCAATGAGGTCGACGCAACAGATCAGAACGTTTAGCTTAAAATGTTGCTAAACTATTAGGCTATTTATTCACATTATAAGCGCAGCAATACGCACACGGCAGTACGCTATAAGCGCAAAGATTCCTATTAGCAGAAAAACACCATTCTCAAAAGTGACCGCAAATACGATTATGCATGTAATGCTTTTATTATAAAGGTGCATTTTTGTGGTGAAAATTATCTTCCCCAAACTTGAAACTCAGGTGCTGCGTATGTATGCCAGTTAGGCTCTACACCCGTTGTAAAGCGGATTAATGTGCTTCATTTTAAGAAGTTATTTGGCCACTTTAGTTGTGATACAAACCTTATCAAAACATATAGGCCTATGGGCTATACGAGGTGTGCGACTATGATTTTAAAAAGTCGCAAAAAAAGGTATGCGCTGTTTCTTGCCTTAAGCTCGGCATCATTCACAAGTGATAATATATAATTCACAAACGATAGGCTAATATTCTCACCCATCAGACTATTCTTGATTTAATCTTGTCTTTACACATACTAAATAATATATGTGTGAAATTTGTTTTGATTTAGAATGGACCATTATCATGCTCCTGTCTCGAAGCAGGGGAAAAATATACATGTCATATATGCACTTAAATAGTGAATGGAGGACGCTTTTCCCGTAGTTCATTTTCATGCCAGCCAGGTAGGCTATACTCCTGTTGTAAAGAGAAGCAATGTGCTTAATATTAGGAAAGTTGAGAAATAAATATAGTAAGCCTATAGAAAGAGGCCATCACTCTGTTTTCTCACGCAATGCATAGCCTATAGAAATGTTGCGCAACATGAGCTCATGGGCTCTCATGAAGTGTTTGATTAGATTTTCGATTACATTTGCATTGATGTCAGAGAGATTAGAGGGACAATAGAGTGCTGAATACCAGGCAGTTAGCAAGTTTGGTAGGCTACTAATGACCATAAACAGCATCAGAGCTTGGAGAATCCTAATTACCGTGACTAAATGGTCACGTGGAATTTGACTGTCATTAAGGTCTTAAAACGACTGGCAGAAGGAGGACACAAGGTGTCAAAAACAAAACTCCACTACTGCCAATCCCAAGTTGAATACCTAGGACGAACAATAGCGCATGGAACAAAGGCGATAGCACCAGGACAACTAGAAGGGATTAGCAAAGCACCACTTCCTCAAACAGTGGCCCAGATGATTACATTTTTAGGAATGACTGGATTCAGCTCAGACTGGATAGAGGAGTATGTGGTTAAGACAGCTCCTCTGCGAGAAATTATGAAGGAAGCAGGACAGCTAGACCTTAGAGCAAGTCTTGAAACACTGAAAAAAGAGATGCAGTCCGCTCCGGCTCTGGCAGCTCCAGATTATGGTCCTCTGTAGCTCAATTGGTAGAGCATGGCGCTTGTAACGCCAGGGTAGTGGGTTCGATCCCCGGGACCACCCGTATGTAAAAATGTATGCGCACATGACTGTAAGTCGCTTTGGATAAAAGCGTCTGCTAAATGGCATATTATTATATTATTATTATACAAAACCATTCCTGCTGTACGTGGCAAATAGATGTGATAGGTATGCGCCGGCAATACTTATGCAAGAAACATGCAGTGGAAGACGTAAACAACCCATTGCATATTACAGTACTAAATTGGACTCTGTCGCCCAGGGATACCCACCCTGTTATCAAGGCTTAGCTGCACTACAATATGCATATGATAAAGCATCCACCATTACCATGGGATATCCGGTAACAATACACACACACACCATAAAATAGTGGAGTTAATAGAGAATGGAAAATTTGTCCTGACCAATGCTAGAACCTTAGAATATATAACCCTACTAACCTATCCAGATGTTTCCATTAAACATTTACATTTACATTTTAGTCATTTAGCAGACGCTCTTATCCAGAGCGACTTACAGTTAGTGATTACATATATATATATTTTTTTTATACTGGCCCCCCGTGGGAATCGAACCCACAACCCTGGCGTTGCAAACGCCATGCTCTATCAACTGAGCTACATCCCTGCCGGCCATTCCCTCCCCTACCCTAGACGACGCTGGGCCAATTGTGCGCCGCCCATGAGTCTCCCGGTCGCGGCCGGCTGCGACAGAGCCTGGATTCGAACCAGGATCTCTAGTGGCACAGTTAGCACTGCGATGCAGTGCCTTAGACCACTGCGCCACTCAGGAGTTAAACGGTGCAGTACGGTGAACCCAGCTGAAAGAATTCCTTTAGAATTTGAGGGACAAGTGCATGACTGTGTAGTATAAAAAAATGTATGCATTCACTAACTGTAAGTCGCTCTGGATAAGAGCGTCTGCTAAATGACTAAAATTAAAATTATGACTCGTGATACGGTCACCGTAACAGCCCTAATCCTGGCCAGTCTTCTAAACATTTGACCTCACTGTCAAGCCAGGTCAGGCCAAGCCACAGTTCATTTTGACCCGCAGCTTAAGGCTTTGTGCCTAATTCTGCAAGTTCAAGCCTTGCATGTCTTCAACATTGACAAAATCAGTTTGGCACCGAGGAGGAAGAAGAGGTGGAGAAAGGTTAGGACGACTCACGCTCTTCATCTGCCACTGCGTCTCGTCGCAGGCCTGCTCTAGGTGGTGAGTGCGTTTACGGATGGCGAACTCTGTGGCGATGCGCTGAGTATCCAGCTCATTCTGCAACTGAGGGATGACAACACAGATAACACACATCATCTTCACCTAACTTTCACTAGTCTTACACGCACACAATCTAGCAATATCTATGAAGCAGAACCAGACCCTATCAGATATCACACACAACAGAGAGCGCTGTGAAAGCAGTCAGTGTGCATCCCAAATGGCACCCTATTCCCTAAGTAGTGCACTACTTTTGACCCTTTGGGCCCTGGTCAAAAGTAAGGCAATAGGGTGCCTTTTGGGACGCAGACAGAAACAGTGCTGTTTTATAGGAGCCAATACAGAAAAGTGCTATTGGTATAGGGCTGGCCATATGGTAACGCTACACTCCTCTAGCCCTACCCCAGGCCCCATTTCACACCTGTACCCTGGTGACACTCATGTCGTCCCTCAGCTGCAGTGACGCCTGCATCTCCTCCTGAGCTCGGGCCACGTTGTACTGGCTGAACTGCTCCCACTGCTGGGGGGTGGTGGAACTGCAACAGCACATTTACACATTCAGGTACAGGTATTTTACAGCAGTGGCGGTCGGTACCGTCTAAGATGAGGGAGGATGATAAAACATTTTTAATGAGCATGGCCTTATTTCTATTACAGCATATTGGATGACTATCATTCATATTCCATTCACCCAGCTCAATGTTTAGGCTACTACATGATACTCAAATTTCCCTGTACCCATCATAAGGTTGCTACAACCTAGCCTATGAATGAAAGTTTACAACGTAGATGCACAGGTTGAGAGAATTATCAGTAATCAAGGTGACAGACATTGACACGTTTAATACCGCTTTGCACACTCTTGCCTGCATCTAGCTGATCTAAGGTGTAATCATTAGTCCAACAGTTGCAAATGTGAGTTCTATTGGACAAATTCAGGTTTGTTTATCCCCGTTTTGTTTGCTTCAGTTTAAGATTTGTTTCTCAACGGAAACTGCGGAATGAATACACCCCTGATCACACGCAAACACAGTTAACTTTCATAGCAGCCACATAAAAACAGCATGATCACTTTGCTCATTGTACGCACACACACACACACACATATACAGTGGGGAGAACAAGTATTTGATAACCTGCAAAATCGGCAGTGTTTCCTACTTACAAAGCATGTAGAGGTCTGTAATTTTTTATCATAGGTACAGTTCAACTGTGAGAGACGGAATCTAAAAAAAATCCAGAAAATCACATTGTATAATTTTTAAGTAATTAATTTGCATTTTATTGCATGACATAAGTATTTGATCACCTACCAACCAGTAAGAATTCCGGCTCTCACAGACCTGTTAGTTTTTCTTTAAGAAGCCCTCCTGTTCTCCACTCATTACCTGTATTAACTGCACCTGTTTGAACTCGTTACCTGTATAAAAGACACCTGTCCACACACTCAATCAAACAGACTCCAACCTCTCCACAATGGCCAAGACCAAAGAGCTGTGTAAGGACATCAGGGATAAAATTGTAGACCTGCACAAGGCTGGGATGGGCTACAGGACAATAGGCAAGCAGCTTGGTGAGAAGGCAACAACTGTTGGCGCAATTATTAGAAAATGGAAGAAGTTCAAGATGACAGTCAATCACCCTCGGTCTGGGGCTCCATGCAAGATCTCACCTCGTGGGGCATCAATGATCATGAGGAAGGTGAGGGATCAGCCCAGAACTACACAGCAGGACCTGGTCAATGACCTGAAGAGAGCTGGGACCACAGTCTCAAAGAAAACCATTAGTAACACACTACGCCGTCATGGATTAAAATCCTGCAGCGCACGCAAGGTCCCCCTGCTCAAGCCAGCGCATGCCCGTCTGAAGTTTGCCAATGACCATCTGGAAGATCCAGAGGGAGAAGGTCATGTGGGGTCTGATGAGACAAAAATATAGCTTTTTGGTCTAAACTCCACTCGCCGTGTTTGGAGGAAGAAGAAGGATGAGTACAACCCCAAGAACACCATCCCATGGAGGTGGAAACATCATTCTTTGGGGATGCTTTTCTGCAAAGGGGACAGGACGACTGCACCGTATTGAGGGGAGGATGGTTGGGGCCATGTATCGCGAGATCTTGGCCAACAACCTCCTTCCCTCTGTAAGAGCATTGAAGATGGGTCGTGGCTGGGTCTTCCAGCATGACAACGACCCGAAACACACAGCCAGGGCAACTAAGGAGTGGCTCCGTAAGAAGCATCTCAAGGTCCTGGAGTGGCCTAGCCAGTTTCCAGACCTGAACCCAATAGAAAATCTTTGGAGGGAGCTGAAAGTCCGTATTGCCCAGCGACAGCCCCGAAACCTGAAGGATCTGGAGAAGGTCTGTATGGAGGAGTGGGCCAAAATCCCTGCTGCAGTGTGTGCAAACCTGGTCAAGACCTACAGGAAACATATGATCTCTGTAATTGCAAACAAAGGTTTCTGTACCAAATATTAAGTTCTGCTTTTCTGATGTTTCAAATACTTATGTCATGCAATAAAATGCAAATTAATTTCTTAAAAATCATACAATGTGATTTTCTGGATTTTTGTTTTAGATTCCGTCTCTCACAGTTGAAGTATACTTATGATAAAAAATTACAGACCTCTACATGCTTTGTAAGTAGGAAAACCTGCAAAATCAGCAGTGTATCAAATACTTGTTCTCCCCACTGTATATACACTGCTCATAAAAATAAAGGGAACACTAAAATAACACATCCTAGATCTGAATGAATGAAATAATCTTATTAAATACTTTTTTCTTTACATAGTTGAATGTGCTGACAAAAAAATTACACAAAAATTATCAATGGAAATCAAATTTATCAACCCATGGAGGTCTGGATTTGGAGTCACCCTCAAAATTAAAGTGGAAAACCACACTACAGGCTGATCCAACTTTGATGTAATGTCCTTAAAACAAGTCAAAATGAGGCTCAGTAGTGTGTGTGGCCTCCACGTGCCTGTATGACCTCCCTACAACGCCTGGGCATGCTCCTGATGAGGTGGCGGATAGTCTCCTGAGGGATCTCCTCCCAGACCTGGACTAAAGCATCCGCCAACTCCTGGACAGTCTGTGGTGCAACGTGGCGTTGGTGGATGGAGCGAGACATGATGTCCCAGATGTGCTCAATTGGATTCAGGTCTGGGGAATGGGCGGTCCATAGCATCAATGCCTTCCTCTTGCAGGAACTGCTAACACACTCCAGCCACATGAGGTCTAGCATTGTCTTGCATTAGGAGGAACCCAGGGCCAACCGCACCAGCATATGGTCTCACAAGGGGTCTGAGGATCTCATCTCGGTACCTAATGGCAGTCAGGCTACCTCTGGCGAGCACATGGAGGGCTGTGCGGCCCCCCAAAGAAATGCCACCCCACACCATGACTGACCCACCGCCAAACCGGTCATGCTGGAGGATGTTGCAGGCAGCAGAACGTTCTCCACGGCGTCTCCAGACTCTGTCACGTCTGTCACATGTGCTCAGTGTGAACCTGCTTTCATCTGTGAAGAGCACAGGGCGCCAGTGGCGAATTTGTCAATCTTGGTGTTCTCTGGCAAATGCCAAACGTCCTGCACGGTGTTGGGCTGTAAGCACAACCCCCACCTGTGGACGTCGGGGCCTCATACCATCCTCATACAGGCACGTGGAGGCCACACACACTACTGAGCCTCATTTTAAGGACATTACATCAAAGTTGGATCAGCCTGTAGTGTGGTTTTCCACTTTAATTTTGAGGGTGACTCCAAATCCAGACCTCCATGCGTTGATAAATTTGATTTCCATTGATAATTTTTGTGTGATTTTGTTGTCAGCACATTCAACTATGTAAAGAAAAAAGTATTTAAAAAGATTATTTCATTCATTCAGATCTAGGATGTGTTATTTTAGTGTTCCCTTTATTTTTTTGAGCAGTGTATATATACAAATATACACTCACTACCGGTCAAAGGTTTGTACACACCTACTCATTCAAGGGTTTTTCTTTATTTTTACATTGTAGAATAATAGTGAAGACATCGAAACTATGTAATAATTCATATGGAATCAAAAAAGTGTTAAACAAATCAAAATATATTTTATATTTGAGATTCTTCAAATAGCCACCCTTTGCCTTGATGACAGCTTTGCACACTCTTGGCATTTTCTCAACCAGCTTCACCTGGAGTGCTTTTCCAACAGTCTTGAAGGAGTTCCCACATGCACTCTGTCACGCTCTGGCTCCGGGACTGTGTAGTTTGAGCCAGGGTGTATTCATTTGGTTGTGTTGGGTATAGGGTGTGTTCATTTGGTTGTGTTTGGTTTTGGTTGTAGTGTCTTGTCTCGTCATGTGACTCCCAATCGGAGGTAACGAGTGTCAGCTGTCGGCTCGTTATCTCTGATTGGGAGCCATATTTAAACTGTCAGTGTTCACCTTAGGGTTGTGGGTTTTTGTTCCATGTTTCAGTCTGTGTACTGAGGACTTCACTATCCGTCATTGTTTATTGTTTTCTCGTTTGTGCACTTTAACTTTATAAAGTCATGTTCGCTACAAACGCTGCGCTTTGGTCCACTCCTTCCGTAGACGGCCGTGACAGAAAAACCCACCACAAAAGGACCAAGCAGCGTATACAGGAACACCCGCAGGAGAGAACGCTGGTGGATGTCCTCCTCGGCTGGGGACATATTACGCAGGAGGAGGCCGTCCGGTACCGGAGGGCGATGAAGGGGGAGAACCTGGCAGGAGAGGAGCAACGGCGTCAGCAGGGCCATCGTCGGATGGAAGAGAGGCAACCCCAAAAAAAATTTGGGGGGGGGCACATGGCTTGGGCGGCTGGGCAGCAGGCGGCTGCTACAGGACGTTTTGGAGAGGTGGTCACCGGGTGTTGGGAGGCAGAAGGCAGGTTGGCGAGGCCTGGAGGTAGAGCGGAACCAACTTCCCGTACTCAGGCATGGCAGCATGGGACGGGGCAGGTTCCGCGGTATGCGGAGCAGCGTACTGTGCCACGAGTGGTCCGGCACAGTCCTGTACGTCCTGTGCAAGCACCCCGCACGTGTCGTGCGAAGGGGGGGATGCAGCCAGGACGGAGTGTGCCGGATCTACGCTCGAGGTCTCCAGTGCCTCTCCGCGGTCCCGGATATCCTGCTCCCGTATCGCGTGCTGTCATGTCGGTACGGGTTCACAGCCCTGTACGTCCTGTGCGGATGCCTCACGCAGAGTGTGTGAGGGTAGGCATCCAGCCAGGACGGGTGGTGGCCGCTCTTCGCTCCAGGTCTCCTATCCGTCTCCACAGTCCGGTGAGGCCTGTCCCAGCTCCACGCACCAAACCTACGGTGTGCGTCGCCAGCCCAGCCCGGCCTGTTCCTGCCACCCGCACCAAGTCTACGGTGCGCGTCGCCAGCCCGACCCGGCCTGTTCCTGCCACTCGCACCAAACCTACGGTGCGCGTCGCCAGCCCGGTCCGGCCTGTTCCTGCCACCCGCACCAAGTCTACGGTGCGCGTCGCCAGCCCGACCCGGCCTGTTCCTGCTACTCGCACCAAGCCAGGGGTACGAGTCGTCGGCCTGGTCCAGCCCGTTCCTGCTACTCGCACCAAGCCAAGGGTGCGAGTCGTCAGCCTGGTTCAGCTCGTCCCTGCTACTCGCACCAAGCCAAGGGTGCGAGCCGTCAGCCTGATCCAGCCCATTCCTGCTACTCGCACCAAGCCAGGGATGCGAGTCTTCAGCCTGGTGAGGCCTGTTCCGGCTCCACGCACCAGGCAAAGGGTGCGTATCGTCTGCCAGTTCCGGTCCATTCCTACCTCACGCGCCAAGCCAGGGGTGCGCGTCGGAGGTCCTGATCCAGCAAGCTGGGTCAGATCGGACCGGGGGCACTACGGGGGGAGTGAAGTGGGGTGGTGGTCAAGCCCGGAGCCGGAGCCGCCTCCGAGGAGCAACACCCACCCAGCCCTCCCCTATTTTGGGGTGTAGGCGCGGTCGGAGTCCGCGCCTTTAGGGGGGGGGTACTGTCACGCTCTGGCTCCGGGACTGTGTAGTTTGAGCCAGGGTGTATTCATTTGGTTGTGTTGGGTATAGGGTGTGTTCATTTGGTTGTGTTTGGTTTTGGTTGTAGTGTCTTGTCTCGTCATGTGACTCCCAATCGGAGGTAACGAGTGTCAGCTGTCGGCTCGTTATCTCTGATTGGGAGCCATATTTAAACTGTCAGTGTTCACCTTAGGGTTGTGGGTTTTTGTTCCATGTTTCAGTCTGTGTACTGAGGACTTCACTATCCGTCATTGTTTATTGTTTTCTCGTTCGTGCACTTTAACTTTATAAAGTCATGTTCGCTACAAACGCTGCGCTTTGGTCCACTCCTTCCGTAGACGGCCGTGACACACTCCAGGTGAAGCTGGTTGAGAAAATGCCAAGAGTGTGCAAATCTGTCATCAAGGCAAAGGGTGGCTATTTGAAGAATCTCAAATACAAAATATATTTTGATTTGTTTAACACTTTTTTGGTTACTACATGATTCCATGTGTTATTTCATAGTTTTGATGTCTTCACTATTATTCTACAATGTAGAAAATAGTAAAAATAAAGAAAAACCCTTGAATGAGTAGGTGTGTCCAAACTTTTGACTGTACTATATATATATATATATTTGTTGGCAATGACACAGGTCAAACGTTTTCTGTAAGTCTTCACAAGGTTTTCACACACTGTTGCTGGTATTTTGGCCCATTCCTCCATGCAGATCTCCTCTAGAGCAGTGATGTTTTGGGGCTGTCGCTGGGCAACACGGACTTTCAACTCCCTCCAAAGATTTTCTATGGGGTTGAGATCTGGAGACTGGCTAGGACACTCCAGGACCTTGAAATGCTTCTTACGAAGCCAATCCTTCGTTGCCCGGGCGGTGTGTTTGGGATCATTGTCATGCTGAAAGACCCAGCCACGTTTCATCTTCAATGCCCTTGCTGATGGAAGGTTTTCACTCAAAATCTCACGATACATGGCCCCATTCATTCTTTCCTTTACACGGATCAGTCGTCCTGGTCCCTTTGCAGAAAAACAGCCCCAAAGCATGATGTTTCCACCCCCATGCTTCACAGTAGCTATGGTGTTCTTTGGATGCAACTCAGCATTATTTGTCCTCCAAACACGACGAGTTGGAGTTTTTACCAAAAAGTTCTATTTTGGTTTCATCTGACCATATGACATTCTCCCAATCCTCTTCTGGATCATCCAAATGCACTCTAGCAAACTTCAGATGGGCCTGGACATGTACTGGCTTAAGCAGGGGGACACGTCTTGCACTGCAGGATTTGAGTCCCTGGCGGCGTAGTGTGTTACTGATGGTAGGCTTTGTTACTTTGGTCCCAGCTCTCTGCAGGTCATTCACTAGGTCCCCCCGTGTGGTTCTGGGATTTTTGCTCACCGTTCTTGTGATCATTTTGACCCCACGGGGTGAGATCTTGCGTGGAGCCCCAGATCGAGGGAGATTATCAGTGGTCTTGTATGTCTTCCATTTCCTAATAATTGCTCCCACAGTTGATTTATTAAAACCAAGCTGCTTACCTATTGCAGATTCAGTCTTCCCAGCCTGGTGCAGGTCTACAATTTTGTTTCTGGTGTCCTTTGACAGCTCTTTGGTCTTGGCCATAGTGGAGTTTGGAGTGTGACTGTTTGAGGTTGTGGACAGGTGTCTTTTATACTGATAACAAGTTCAAACAGGTACCATTAATACAGGTAACGAGTGGAGGACAGAGGAGCCTCTTAAAGAAGAAGTTACAGGTCTGTGAGAGCCAGAAATCTTGCTTGTTTGTAGGTGACCAAATACCTATTTTCCACCATAATTTGCAAATAAATTCATGAAAAATCCTACAATGTGATTTTCTGGATTTTTTTTTCTCAATTTGTCTGTCATAGTTGACGTGTACCTATGATGAAAATTACAGGCCTCTCTCATCTTTTTAAGTGGGAGAACTTGCACAATTGGTGGCTGACTAAATACTTTTTTCCCCCACTGTATATATATATACATATATATATATATATATATATATATATATATATATATATATATATATATATATATATATATATATATATATATATATATATACATATACATATATATATATACATATATATATATACATATATATATATATATACTATATATATATATATATATATATATATATACACACACACACACACACACACAGGAAGTTTACATACACCTTAGACAAATACATTTAAACTCAGTTTCACAATTCCTAACATTTAATCTTAGTAAAGATTCCCTGTCTTAGGTCAGTTAGGATAACCACTTTATTTTAAGAAAGTGAAATGTCTGAATAATAGTAGAGAGAATGATTCATTTCAGCTTGTATTTATTTCATCACATTCCCAGTGGGTCAGAAGTTTACATACACTCAATTAGTATTTGGTAGCATTACCTTTAAATTGTTTAACTTTGGTCAAACATTTCGGGTAGCCTTCCACAAGCTTCCCACAATAAGTTGGGTGAATTTTGGCCCATTCCTCCTGACAGAGCTGGTGTAACTGAGTCAGGTTTGTAGGCCTCCTTGCTCGCACACGCTTTTTCAGTTCTGCCCACAAATGTTCTATAGGATTGAGGTCAAGGCTTTGTGATGGCCACTCCAATACCTTGACTTTGTTGTCCTTAAGCCATTTTGCCACGACATTGGAAGTATGCTTGGGGTCATTGTCCATTGGAAGACCCATTTGCGACCAAGCTTTAACTTCCTGACTGATGTCTTGAGATGTTGCTTCAATATATCCACATAATTTTCCTTCCTCATGATGCCATCTATTTTGTGAAGTGCACCAGTCCCTCCTGCAGCAAAGCACCCCCACAGCATGATGCTGCCACCCCCGTGCTTCACGGTTGGGATGGTGTTCTTCGCCCCCCCCCCCCCCCCCCCTCTTGGCTGATTTTCTTTTGATTTTCCTATGATGTCAAGCAAAGAGACACTGAGTTTAAAGGTAGGCCTTGAAATACATCCACAGGTACACCTCCAATTGACTCAAATTATGTCAATTAGCCTATCAGAAGCTTTTAAAGCCATGACATCAGTTTCTGGAATTTTCCAAGCTGTTTATAGGCACAGTGAACTTATTGTATGTAAACTTCTGACCCACTGGAATTGTGATACAGTGAATTATAAGTGAAAAAATATGTCTGTAAACAATTGCAACTGCTTGGCCTCTGACCGCAAGGCACTACAGAGGGTAGTGCGTACGGCCCAGTACATCACTGGGGCAAAGCTCCCTGCCATCCAGGACCTCTATACCAGGCGGTGTCAGAGGAAGGCCCTCAAAATTGTCAAAGACTCCAGCCACCCTAGTCATAGACTGTTCTCTCTGCTACCGCACGGCAAGCGGTACCGGAGTGCCAAGTCTAGGTCCAAAAGACTTCTCAACAGCTTCTACCCCCAAGCCATAAGACTCCTGAACAGCTAATCATGGCTACCCGGACTATTTGCACTGCCCCCCCACCCCATCCTTTTTACGCTGCTGCTACTCTGTTAAGTATTTATGCATAGTCACTTTAACTATACCCACATGTACATATTACCTCAACTACCTCAACTAGCCGGTGCCCCCGCACATTGACTATGCAACGGTACCCCCCTGTATATATAGCCTCCCTACTGTCACTTTATTTTACTGTATATATAGCCTCCCTACTGTCACTTTATTTTACTTCTGCTCTTTTTTTCTCAACACTTTTTTGTTGTTGTTTTATTCTTACTTTTTTTGTTTAAAATAAATGCACTGTTGGTTAAGGGCTGTAAGTAAGCATTTCACTGTAATGTCTGCACCTGTTGTATTCGGCGCATGTGACCAATAAAATTTGATTTGATTTGATTTGATTTGAATTGTTGGAAAAATTACTTGTCATGCACAAAGTAGATGTCCTAACGGACTTGCCAAAACTATAGTTTGTGGAGTGGTTGAAAAACACGTTTTAATGAATCCAACCTAAGTGTATGTAAACTTCCGACTTCAACTGTGTGTGTGTGTATATATATATATATAATTCCTTCTCGCAACTATCTACGCACTCTCCTCCTCTCAACTTTTCCCTTCGCTTGTGGACTTCAGTGCACAACACATCAGCTGTCTTTGACCAGGTGAAAAAACCTATCCAAGCCAAACCTTCATATCGTGACCGCTAACAGCTACACACAGCCTACATCATTGTCACGGCAAAGTCAACATAGCTACTAGAACTAACGCATTAGTAAACCCGCTACAATCATGTAGTCCAGTGAACAGTCAGAAAGCAGTTTAGCAGTTACACCGGCGGGCCCCAGTGGCAATAAATTAAAACCAAAAGGTTATCTTGACTTGAAAGTTCCAGTGTTGGATAGCCATAGCCAGCTAGCTAACTTAGCATCCCTCTCTGTTTGTTGGTTTGGCAATGCCACTGTCAGCCAGAAAAATATGCTGAGAAGGATTATCACCACAGCAAGCAAGGTACTTGGAGTCAAACAGACAGGCTTGGATGAGATCTTTAAGGTCAGGGCCCTCAGCAAGGCTCACAAATTTATTTTAGACCCAAGCCACCCCCTGTACCCGGACTTTGAACTACTCCCCTCTGGGTGCAGGTATAGGGCACCCCCCGGCAGGAAAAACAGAACTAGACAATCATTTGTGGCAGGTGTGATATCCCTCCTAAACAACTGGGCTAATGTTCCTATCGACCCAGTAAGGCCAGCAGGCTAGTCTCTTTTTATTGGTATGTAACTGTTATGAATGTTGTATTGTCAATTTGTTTTCTACTGTATTTAAACCCCACTTTAAACGTGTACATGATACTGCAACAACATTTCCCCATGGGGACAATAAAGTCAGCAAGTAAGTAAGTTTGAGCCGGGTGTTTGAGTAGGCTAGCTGGATTCGCTAGCTAAGTGAAAGTGAAAATTTAAAAAATGACAACCAAATATAGCCAGCTCTCTCTCTCCTTCTTGCTTCTCCTTAATTTTAGGAAATTAATTTGTTAAAAACTGTTCAACTATTGTCTTTCTCTCTCTTTGAGTTAACTACTCACCACATTTTATGCCCTGCAGTGCTAGCTAGCTGTAGCTTATGCTTTCAGTACTAGATTCATTCTCTGATCCTTTGATTGGGTGACAACATGTCAGTTCATGCTACAACAGCTCTGATAGGTTGGAGGACGTCCTCTGGAAGTTGTCATAATTACTGTGTTAGACTATAGAAGCGGGTGAGAACCATGTGCCTCCTAGGTTTTGTATTAAAGTCAATGTACCCAGAGGAGGACAGAAGCTAGCTGTCCTCCAGCTACACATGGTGCTACCCTACAGAGTGCTGCTGAGGCTACTGTAGACCTCCATTGCAAAACAGTGTGTTAGAATGAATTATTTGTTGACGTGAATATATTTAGTATAGTTTTAGCAAAAAAAAATGAAATTCACTGAGGAGGATGGTCCTCCCCTTCCTCTGATGAGCCTTCACTGTTACAGGTACATTCAATTCATTTGAAAGGCAAGTGGTGGCATTGCAGAACATAATTGGATGAGTTGAGTGCCTGGTGAATTAATATTGTAGCTAATTAGACATGCATATGCATGTAAGAATTGCAATTGTACGAGGTGCTCATTGACAAAACAGGGTAAGTAGGTTTGATCTAGATATCCTGCTCCGAAATTCAGAAGGCCTAGTATTTATTTGTATTGTACCGCACACCCTCATTCCAGCTCACCCTATGGGAATGCGCAGGGGGTTGGGCTTCAGGGAAATCTCAGGTGATGTCACAGTGAGTGACAAGCAGGAGAGGTCAATGTCCTGGGCCTCCATCTTGTTCTGAAGGTCATGGGACAGCTGCTGCCGGGACTCCTGAAGAAGACTGGAGATAACAGCCAATGATAAGTACTGAGACTGCAAAATATGTGAGAGTGGCACCAGAATTTAAATAAAAACATGTCTTACCTTTTTGTAGTTAATAAATTAAATGTGAAACGTGATAACTATAGTATGATTAACTATAGTATGATTAACATGGTGACGCAACGCACTTCCACGTTGTCTCCATGCTGCTGTGCAGTTTGTCGCTACTTGCCTACCTGCCAAACTTTTTCGCTTTTTACTCTTAATAACCATTTAATCAAACTCTGTATTTAACAAGTTTACCAACGTCTTAGTTTTGTCCTCACACAACATGTTTTATTCAACTTTTTCACCCAGGACGCTATATCTGGACATGGATCTGCTGGACCTCCTCCGGTCGAAAAAGCTAAGTAACATTATGCCTTCTCATTGCAGTCGCTGTACTCATAATATACAGGAGAACTATCGCCTTATATAGTGAGAATAGCCAAGTTGCAAGCTTGGCTATTCAGACGCAATCGTTAGGCAAGTGCAATTTACGTGTAGGAAAGGATGAAACAGCATCGATGCCACCAGTAAATACAGGTAGTAGTATTAATCCCCCTCCACAGTCCCCACAGCCGGACAATTTTCTCATGGATTCTGGAAATAAATGCTGTCGGTATGCTCATCCGGTGTCGCTCATTCAGCCGATATAAACTTTCAACCGGTTTTCCCCACTAAGCAACAAGTCTGAGTCAGAGCCCGAGCCTTCACAGGTCTAACCACCCGTTACAGGGTCTGAGCCGCCGAATCTGACTCCATTACCCACAATATTAGACTTAAAATAATAATCCAGCCATCATACATTGTTTGCCAGGGGGCAGGACTACCGACGTAAAGGCTAATCTGAAGATGGTGCTGGCTGAGGCTAAAACTGGCGAGTGCAGATGGTGTAGGGATATTGTTATCCAGGTCGGCACCAACGATGTTAGGATGAAACAGTCAAAGGGTCACCAAGTGCAACATAGCTTCAGCGCGTAACATAGCTAGAAAGATGTGTTGGCATCGAGTAATTGTCTCTGGTCCCCTCCCAGTTAGGGGGAGTGATGAGCTCCACAGCAGACTCGCACAAATCAATCGCTGGTTGAAAACTTTTTTCTCTCCCTCCCAAAATATATAATGTGTAGATAACTGGCCCTCTTTCTGGGACTCCTGCACAAACAGGCCAAGCCTGGCCTGCTGAGGAGTGACAGAATCCATCCTAGCTGGAGGGTGCAGGCCAGGCAGCAGGCTGTTAGCCAGCCTGCCAGCTTAGTGGAGTCTGCCCCTAGCACAGTCAGTGTAGCCCGCTCAGTTTTCCCCATTGAGACCGTGTCTGTGCCTCGATCTAGGTTGGGCAAAACTAAACATGGCAGTGTTCGCCTTAGCAATCTCACTGGAATAAAGACCTGCTCCATTCCTGTCATTATTGAAAGAGATTGTGATAATACCTCACATCTCAAAATAGGACTACTTAATGTTAGATCCCTCACTTCCAAGGCAGTCATAGTCAATGAACTAATCACTGATCATCAACTTGATGTGATTGACCTGACTGAAACATGGCTCAAGCCTGATTAATTTACTGTGTTAAATGAGGCCTCTCCTCCTGGTTACACTAGTGACCATATCTCCCACGCATCCCGCAAAGGTGGAGGTGTTGCTAACCTTTAAGACAGCAAATTTAAATTTACGAAGAAAAAAATGACGGTGTTTTCTTCTTTTGAGCTTCTAGTCATGAAATCTATGCAGCCTACATCAATATTCACACTGAAAAGTCCACACACCTACTCTGAAAGGCTTTCGGAGCCATCATCAACTCAGTGGGTTTTATCCAACATGTCTCGGGGACCTACGCATTGCCACAATCATCTAGTTTTGTCCCATGGAATAAATATTGTGGATCTAAATGTTTGTCCTCATAATCCTGGACTATCAGACAACCATTTTGTTACGTTTGCAATCGCAATAAATAATCTGCTCAGACCCCCAAACAAGGATTATCAAAAGCCATGCTATAAATGCTCGGACAAGCCAAAGATTCCTAGATGCCCTTCCAGACTCCCTCCACCTACCCAAGGAAGTCGGAGTACAAAATGCAGTTAACCAACTAACCTAGGATCTAAACTTAACCTTGCGTCATACCTTAGATGCAGTCACACCTCTACAAACAAAAACCATGTCACAAGAAACTAGCTGCCTGGTATACAGAAAATACCCGAGCCCTGAAGCAAGCTTCCAGAAAATTGGAACGGAAATGGCGATTCTCCGAATTTGAAGTCTTCCGACTAGCTTGAAAAGACAGTACCATGCAATATTGAAAAGCCCTCACTGCTGCTCGATCAGCCTACTTTTCCAACCTGAGAATAAAGAGAATAAAAACAATCCAAAATGTATTTTTGATACTGTCGCAAAGCGAACTAAAAAGCAGCATTCCACAAGTGAGGATGGCCTTCACATCGACGAAAAGATCATGATAATTAGAAAGCTAATTACGGACTCCTCTTTGAATATGTGTATTTCTCCAAAACTCAGTTGTCCTGAGTCTGCACAGAACTGCCACGACCTAGGATCAATGGAGACACAAGTTTTTTTATCCTGTATCTCTCGATACATACACGAAATTAGTAATGGGGCTCTAAACCGTCCAGTTGCCTACTGGACCCTATTCCAAATAAACTACTGAAAGAGCTACTTCCTGTGCTTGGCCCTCCTATGTTGAACATAATAAATGGCTCCCTATCCTCCAGATGTGTGCCAAACTTTTTTTTTTTTTTTTTTTTTTTTTACTATCGGCATATATCGAATCTCCCATTCCTCTCAAACAATTTTGAAAAAGCTATTGCACAGCAACTCACTGCCTTCCTGAAGACAAATAATGTATTTGAAATGCTCCAGTCTGGTTTTAGACCCCATCATAGTAGTGAGACCGCACTCGTGAAGGTGCTAAATTACTTTAGTGCCGCTTTTGACACCATCAATCACCACATTCGCTTGGAGAGATTGGAAACCCTAAATGGTCTACACGGACAAGTTCTTGCCTGGTTTAGATCTTATCTGTTGGAAAGATATCATTTTGCCTCTGACAAATCAATGGTAAGTTTCGGTGTTCCTGAAGGTTCCGTTTTAGCACCACTATTGTTTTCACTATATATATTCTACCTCTTGGTGATGTCATTCGGAAACAAAATGTCAACTTTCACTGCTATGCAGATGACACACAGCTGTACATTTCGATGAAACATGGTGAAGTCCCAAAATTGCCTACCCTGGAAGCCTGTGTTTCAGACATAAGGAAGTGGATGGCGGCAAATGTTTTACTTTTAAATTTGGACAAAACAGAGATGCTAATTCTAGATCCCAAGAAATAAAGAGATTTGCTGTTTGATCAGACAATTAATCACAATGGTTGTGCAGTTGTCTCAAATAAAACTGTGAAGGACCTCAGCGTTACTCTTGACCCTGATATCTCTTTTGACAAACATATCAAACATATTTCAAGGGCAGCTTTATTCAATCTTCGTAACATTGCAAAAATCTAACTTTTTGTCAAAAATGATGCAGAAAAGCTAATCCATGCTTTTGTTACTTCCAGATTAGACTACGCTCTACTCTCCGGCTACCCAGATAAAGCACTAAATACACTTCAGTTAGTGCTAAATACAACCTGCTGGAATCTTGATTAGAACCAAAACATTTGATCATATTACTCAAATAAAATCAAATCAAATCAAATTTTATTGGTCACATGCGCCGAATACAACAGGTGCAGACATTACAGTGAAATGCTTACTTACAGCCCTTAACCAACAGTGCATTTATTTTAAACAAAAAAAGTAAGAATAAAACAACAACAAAAAAGTGTTGAGAAAAAAAGAGCAGAAGTAAAATAAAGTGACAGTAGGGAGGCTATATATACAGTAAAATAAAGTGACAGTAGGGAGGCTATATATACAGGGGGGTACCGTTGCATAGTCAATGTGCGGGGGCACCGGCTAGTTGAGGTAGTTGAGGTAATATGTACATGTGGGTATAGTTAAAGTGACTATGCATAAATACTTAACAGAGTAGCAGCAGCGTAAAAAGGATGGGTGGGGGGGCAGTGCAAATATTCCGGGTAGCCATGATTAGCTGTTCAGGAGTCTTATGGCTTGGGGGTAGAAGCTGTTGAGAAGTCTTTTGGACCTAGACTTGGCACTCCGGTACCGCTTGCCGTGCGGTAGCAGAGAGAACAGTCTATGACTAGGGTGGCTGGAGTCTTTGACAATTTTGAGGGCCTTCCTCTGACACCGCCTGGTATAGAGGTCCTGGATGGCAGGGAGCTTTGCCCCAGTGATGTACTGGGCCGTACGCACTACCCTCTGTAGTGCCTTGCGGTCAGAGGCCAAGCAGTTGCCATACCAGGCGGTGATGCAACCAGTCAGGATGCTCTCGATGGTGCAGCTGTAGAATTTTTTGAGGATCTGAGGACCCATGCCAAATCTTTTTAGTCTCCTGAGGGGGAATAGGCTTTGTCGTGCCCTCTTCACGACTGTCTTGGTGTGTTTGGACCATGATAGTTCGTTGGTGATGTGGACACCAAGGAACTTGAAGCTCTCAACCTGTTCCACTACAGCCCCGTCGATGAGAATGGGGGCGTGCTCAGTCCTCTTTTTTTTCCTGTAGTCCACAATCATCTCCTTTGTCTTGGTCACGTTGAGGGAGAGGTTGTTGTCCTGGCACCACACGGCCAGATCTCTGACCTCCTCCCTATAGGCTGTCTCATCGTTGTCGGTGATCAGGCCTACCACTGTTGTGTCGTCGGCAAACTTAATGATGGTGTTGGAGTCGTGCCTGGCCATGCAGTCATGGGTGAACAGAGAGTACAGGAGGGGACTGAGCACGCACCCCTGAGGGGCCCCCGTGTTGAGGATCAGTGTGGCAGATGTGTTGTTACCTACCCTTACCACCTGGGGGCGGCCCGTCAGGAAGTCCAGGATCCAGTTGCAGAGGGAGGTGTTTAGTCCCAGGATCCTTAGCTTAGTGATGAGCTTAGAGGGCACTATGGTGTTGAATGCTGAGCTGTAGTCAATGAATAGCATTCTCACGTAGGTGTTCCTCTTGTCCAGGTGGGAAAGGGCAGTGTGGAGTGCGATAGAGATTGCATCATCTGTGGATCTGTTGGGGCGGTATGCAAATTGGAGTGGGTCTAGGGTTTCTGGGATTATGCTGTTGATGTGAGCCATGACCAGTCTTTCAAAGCACTTCATGGCTACAGACGTCAGTGCTACGGGTCGGTAGTCATTTAGGCAGGTTATCTTAGAGTTCTTGGGCACGGGGACTATGGTGGTCTGCTTGAAACATGTTGGTATTACAGACTCAGTCAGGGACATGTTGAAAATGTCAGTGAAGACACTTGCCAGTTGGTCAGCACATGCTCGGAGTACACGTCCTGGTAATCCGTCTGGCCCTGCAGCCTTGTGAATGTTGACCTGCTTAAAAGTCTTACTCACATCGGCTACGGAGAGCGTGATCACATAGTCGTCCGGAGCAGCTGGTGCTCTCATGCATGCTTCAGTGTTGCTTGCCTCGAAGCGAGCATAGAAGTGGTTTAGCTCGTCTGGTAGGCTTGTGTCACTGGGCAGCTCGCGGCTGTGCTTCCCTTTGTAGTCTGTAATAGTTTTCAAGCCCTGCCACATCCGACGAGCGTCAGAGCCAGTGTAGTATGATTCAATCTTAGACCTGTATTGACTCTTTGCCTGTTTGATGGTTCGTCGGAGGTCATAGCGGGATTTCTTATAAGCGTCCGGGTTAGAGTCCCGTTCCTTGAAAGCGGCAGCTCTACCCTTTAGCTCAGTGCGGATGTTTCCTGTAATCCATGGCTTCTGGTTGGGGTATGTACGTACGGTCACTGTGGGGACGACATCATCGATGCACTTATTGATGAAGCCAGTGACTGATGTGGTGTACTCCTCAATGCTGTCTGAAGAATCCCGGAACATGTTCCAGTCTGTGCTAGCAAAACAGTCCTGTAGCTTAGCATCTGCGTCATCTGACCACTTTTTTATTAACCGAATCACTGGTGCTTCCTGCTTCAGTTTTTGCTTATAAGCAGGAATCAGGAGGATAGAGTTATGGTCAGATTTGCCAAATGGAGGGCGAGGGAGAGCTTTGTATGCGTCTCTGTGTGTGGAGTAAAGGTGGTCTAGAGTTTTTTCCCCTCTGGTTGCACATTTAACATGCTGGTAGAAATTAGGTAGAACGGATTTAAGTTTCCCTGCATTAAAGTCCCCGGCTACTAGGAGCGCTGCATCTGGATGAGCGTTTTCCTGTTGATTAATGGCCTTGTACAACTCATTCAGTGCAATCTTAATGCCAGCATTGGTTTGTGGTGGTAAATAGACAGCTATGAAAAATATAGATGAAAACTCTCTTGGTAAATAGTGTGGTCTACAGCTTATCATAAGATACTCTACCTCAGGCGAGCAAAACCTCGAGACTTCCTTAGTATTTGATTTTGTGCACCAGCTGTTGTTTACAAATATACACAGACCGCCGCCCCTTGTCTTACCAGAGTCAGACGTTCTGTCCTGCCGATGTAGCGTATAGCCTGCTAGCTGAATGTTATCATTGTTGTCGTTCAGCCACGACTCCGTGAAACATAAGATATTACAGTTTTTAATGTCCCGTTGGTAGGATAACCGTAATCTTAAATCGTCAATTTTATTCTCAAAAGATTGAACGTTGGCTAATAGGATTGATGGGAGAGGCAGTTTACTCGCACGCCGTCGGATCCTTACAAGGCACCCGGATCTGCGTCCACGATATCTCCGTCTCTTCCTCACGCGAATGACGGGGATCTGGGCCTTGTTGGGTGTCTGTAGAATATCCTTCGCGAACGCCTCGTTGAAGAAAAAGTCTTCGTCCAATGCGAGGTGAGTAATCGCTGTCCTGATATCCAGAAGCTCTCTTTGGTTATAAGAGACGATGGCAGAAACATTATGTACAAAATAAATTACAAATAACGCGGAAAAACACACATAATAGTACAATTGGTTAGAGGGCTGTAAAACGGCAGCCATCTTCCTCCGGCGCTGTTCCTCCAGTGCTAGCCTCTTTACACTGGGTTCCTGTTAAGGCTAGGGCTGATTTCAAGGTTTACATGGACTTGCTCCTACCGATCTCTCCGATTTGGTCCTGCCATACATACCTACACGTACGCTACGGTCACAAGATGCAGGCCTCCTTATTGTTCCTAAGCAAACAGCTGGAGGCAGGGCTGTCTCCTATAGAGACCCATTTCTATGGAATGGTCTGCCTATCCATCGGTCTCGACCTTTAAGTCTTTACTGAAGACTCATCTCTTCATTAGGTCCTATGATTGAGTGTAGTCTGGCCCATGGGAGCGAAGGTGAATGGCAAGGCACTGGAGTGATGAACCACCCTTGCTATCTCTGCCTGGCCGGCTCCCCTCTCTCCACTGGGATTCTCTGCCTCTGACCCTATTACGGGGACTGAGTCACTGGCTTACTAGTGCTCTCCCAAGCTGTCCCTAGGAGGGCTGCATCATGTCGTGCCTTTTTTCGCTATACTCGACTTGAGTGGGTTGAGTCACTGACGTGTTCTTCCTGTCCGGTTTTGCGCCCCCCCCTCGGGCTTGTGCGGTGGGGGAGATCTTCGTGGGCTATACTCAGCCTTGTCTCAGGGTAGTAAATTGGTGGTCTGTTGATATCCCTCTAGTGGTGTGGGGGCTGTGCTTTGGCAAAGTGGGTGGGGTTATATCCTGCCTGGTTGGCCCTGTCCGGGGGTATTGTTGGATGGGGCCACAGTGTCCCCCGAACCCAGTCTACAGCATCTGTGCTGCAATAGTCTATGTGACGGGGGGGCTAGGGTCAGTCTGTCCTATCTGGTGTAATTTTCCTGTCTTATCTGGTGTCCTGTGTGATCTTAAGTATGCTCCCTCTAATTCTCCCATCTCTTTCCCACCTCTCCCGGAGGACCTGAGCCCTAGGACGATGCCTCAGGCCTGATGACTCCTGGCTGTCCCTGTCCATTTCTGCTGTTCTGCCTGCGGCTATGGAACCCTGACCTGTACACCGGATGTGCTACCTTGTCGTGCTGCTGCCCCAGTTTCAACTGTTCTGCCTGCGGCTATGGAAGCCTGACCTGTCCACCGGACGTGCTACCTTGTCCCGGACATGCTGTTTAATTCCACTCTCTCCCTCTCTACCTCCCTCTCTACCGCACTTGCTGTCTCGACCTCAATGCTCAGCTCTGAAAAGCCAACTGACATTTAGTCCTGAGGTGCTGACCTGTTGCACCCTCTACAACCACTTTGATTATTATTTGACGCTGCTGCTCATCTATGAACGTTTGAACATCTTGAAGAACGATCTGGCCTTAATAGCCATGTACTCTTATAATCTCCCCCCCGGCACAGCCAGAAGAGGACTGGCCACCCCTCAAAGCCTGCTTTCTTTCTAGGTTCCTGCCTTTCTAGGCAGTTTTTTCTAGCCACCGTGCTTCTGCATTGCTTTTATGGGGGTTTTTAGGCTGGGTTCTGTATAAGCACTTTGTGACATCTGCTGATGTAAAAAGGGCTTTATAAATACATTTGATTTTAAATCCTTAATTAGCATTGAAAAGGTTAATCCATTCTTCTCTAATTATAAATCTCTCTCCCTAATTTGTGAATCACTCTTGTAACGTCAGTAGGCTACTAGACTATGCTTCAGAGGGGGAGGGGCAGGTAGTCTCTGCACACACTGGCAAAGATTTTCAGCTGGCAAACAGGCAGACACTGGAATAAGTTTGAGTGAGGGCTTTATAACGTAAAAGAACATTATAAACCGGGTTCAGTATAGATCACTTTCATTCTCGGTTCTGATTCTGTTCCTCATATGTAGTTATGTCGTGGTTTTCGGGTCTGTTCGCTGAACCCGTTCCAACCCCTGCTTTTGACCAGGGCACATAGGACTCTGGGCAAAAGTAGTACACTATAAAGGGAATAGGGTGCCATTTGGGATGCAACATCGGTCAAACGGTTTCTTACCACAGCTGCTCGAAGGCCTTGTCGATGCGCTGCTGGAGCACCCGCTGTGCTCCGTCGATCATCTCCACTTCCTTCTTCAGCTGGGCCTCCACTGGGTCGCTGACCAGCTCGTTGCCGCGGCGACCCTCCCTCAGGGTCAGGCACTCCACCGTGACCTCCAGAGGCACAGCGGTGGCCGCCAGTGCCCGCTCAGTCTCCTCCTTCCCCTGAGACACAGAGACAGAGCAGCCAAACTCACCTACGCTGTACTAGCACGTCAATACATCACCCTAAAACCTGGTTTATTGCAAAGTCTGATAAATGTAGAAAGCTGCCAGAATGTTATTTTTTTTTACCAGGTACTTCACACTTTCTGTTTTTACATTGAAACAACTGCATGCCAGATTAATACTAATCTGAAATTGAATTGCAAATCTCACCAGGGTTAAGGCATCCATCTCTTTCTCCACTTCCTGTGCGCATGATTCCAAAGTCTCTCTCCAGCGGGAGATATCCCAGATCCTATCACTCAGCCTGCGAGAGCTGTCACTCGTATCCCAGTTAGTCTGTGGGAGATGAGGTAGAGAGAGAGATGAGGGACAGAGAGATAAACCGAGAGCGGAGAGAGAGAACGAGTTAGAGGGGGGAGAAAGAGGGAGAGTGAGAGAGAGGATAGAGAGAAAAGGAGAGAGAGATTGCATGAATACCTGTGATGAGAATAAATAATAGTCCCTGACAATTGATGATGTGGAAACTAATTTATTAGGCTCTGTCTGTATAGGCCAATGTAACAGTCACAAAGTCAAGCAAGATCTTACTGAATTGGTTGTTTCATTACATAGTCACAATGTCTTACCTTGCTGGTTGTCTCATTGCGTAAGGCCCTCCCTTCCTGACGTGTCTTGTGTGAGATGTGTCGCCTGTGTTCTGCTGTGTCAGATATCTGCTTGTTACTGGTGTCCCAGTCGGACACACTGTACCTGAGCCCAGGCTTGGCACTTAGCGTGGCCATGGTCCTCACAGAGTCACAGGACTAAATGAAACAGGTGACACACAGGTATGATGAGACTGGAAACGAGTTGATGGAACTCTATGGGCCCTGATCAAAAGTAATGCACTATAGGCAATAGGCTGACATTTGGGACACAGACTGTTTACATGAGGGACAAGTATTGTCAAAATTTTTACATTTGATATGACGTGATGTTTGGGGAGGTTGTGGGAATAGTGCTGTCAGTGATGTGTAATGATCTGTTTGGAGTCATAATTTGCATGAAAGTGTATTTCCACCCTCTCTACCCACAGCCAAATGATCAAACCATTACTCACTCAAGGAGGAAATGAACTTGCATAACCTCTGTTCAAAAGCAACCTTTAGTTGATTAAGACTAGCTTTTAGGCTATATGAAAACTTATTGAATGGGAAGAGATGGGCTAGCTTGCACTGCGTCTAAAGCTCAGGGACATTTGATAGCTCATACATGGATGGGAAGGTTGTGCTGGGAGATGCACCTGCTGCTCTCTGGAATTGAATGCCTCAATACCACTTAACATTAATTAACTTCAGTATGAAAGTCATTATGTGGAACAATTAATTCCCTTTCATGTCATTACTCAGAGAACAGTATTGCCTAATAGGATTATGAGCCATAACAGTAGATCAATGCACAATGTCTTATCATGGCCATAAAACAATGGGTGTTTCTCAATATGTTCGTATACTACCGTGCTCTCATGCAGAGTACGTTCTTGTGTGGACGAGTGTGGAGAATTGATAAAACAATACATTCGAGAAGCACTCGCACTCCCCTTACTGCAGTACCTCATGCTTCACCACCCCCATTCACGAACCCTTTTCCAGCCAGGACAATAGCAACAATAGACGAAACTAGATATACACAAAGCAAACGTTTTGCTTCATAATTATCAGCTAGATATGCGAATTGTAATAATCTAGCTAGCCAGCTACTTAGACAGGCAAAAATGACCTAAAACGAATATTATGCAAGATAATGTCAATTCTTCGTGAGTAGCTAGCTAACGCTTCTTCGTGGCTATCTGGCTAGCTAACAGTACTGGGAGCTAGCCAGTTATCCCTATTGGACTTGTAATAATATGTAATATGCCATTTAGCAGACGCTTTTATCCAAAGCGACTTAGTCATGCGTGCATACATTTTTTGTGTATGGGTGGTCCCGGGGATCGAACCCACTACCTTGACGTTACAAGCGCCGTGCTCTACCAGCTGAGCTACAGAGGACTTATCTGGGCTTGCTATCTACAGTACGTAGGCAGGTAAACATACCAAAATTAACACAGCATGTATTTATTAACGTATCAAGTTTAAATATTGTAGTCAGGCAACATATGAGATGTGAATAGAAAACATTTCATTCCGAATTCGGAGTGTATTTTCTCTGGCTACAGCTCAAATAATGTCCGCTATTGTCATTGATTTCAAGAAATGTTGCATCATTTTTTGACGTGGTTGCATCATTTCTTTGCATACTTTCTGTCGAAGCTTGCATCGATCAATGATTTAAAATATTTACAAATGGAGTAGGCATTCGAGAAGTACTCTCAGTGCTCTGTTTCACATAATTTTATTTGGACTCATACTCCGACCCTCCCGTGCTCCAATTTGCGTGCTCGGAGCATGGTCATAGATAGAACAATGAGACAGACATTTCACCGGATGTATTAATGTGAAGCATCCACTCGGCGTTTCCGCCACTTACCAAATATGGTAGTGAGTAGGAAGCCATGTGTCCGGCACTGGGAGAAGCTGGAACGAGATGGATTTTGGCCGACATTCTGCACATTTTCTCATCGATGAAACATTTGATCTCAATACAGTTTTCTGTTCCCAAAACTAGAATCTGTTACGAACAGAGTGGAGTAAGTTTTGTAGACTTTACCCCTTGTAAAAAAATTGCATTGTTTATGAGTGCAAAGGCGAATGCACGCACTTTACTGAGTAGGCGTTCCCTAACGGAAATATGGAAATATGCTACAACGCGACAATAGGATCTCGCAAGCTCGTGCTTGGCTCTGCCCAGCTCCTTGCTTGTTCTGCAAACTATAACTAATTTGTTCCCATTTGAAACGACGGGCTGTGGTCTATCTTGGTTTAGTTGTAAAAATCTTAGGCACGGTAGTATGCATTTTTGACAAACGCCCAATGTCTGCAATTCAGCTTTCCTATTACTCAACTTTTTCTCAGAAACGAGACTAGGCCTAATCAAATTGAAACTAGGCAAGATAGGCTAGGGGGAAAATGTGTGCTTAATTCAGCACACAGACCATGCTACTTGTTTGTGGTAGGCTACTGTAATTAACATCAGGTGTTTGAATAATGGAAACATACCTGCAGTCTTGTTTTTATGGTGGCTCTGTTTTGATAGTTAGCCTAATTAATTGGTGTTAAGTAATTTGATATTGAACCTATAAGTAGACAAAACATTTATATCATTATTCAACATAGCTTTGGCATTATGGCACAAGGTAAATTGTTACATAATGGAACTTTCGAACTATATTTACTTACCCAAAGCTCTCGAATTTGCGGATATCCTGGAGTGTCTGCACCGGTGGTCCATAACCTGTGTCTCACCAGCTCTTGTAGACTGTCTCCAGGTAACGCACAGATGCAACTAGTCAAACACGACTACTAAATAATTAAAATGCCATGGCAACGTTAAACAAATAGCCATTCGAAGGGCTTTAGTGATTGACATCAGTCTTTGTGACTGTCCGACGACGCAACAATGCATCCTACATCATAATGTGGAACTCCATGACTGTCAGATGATGCAAAAAGGTACCCAAATAGAATTGTTGGCGACAGATTAGTCTCCAACTTGGAGAAATAAATGTTTCTGCTGTATCCAGTATCCTAGGCTACTAGTGCCCCCCTATATGCTTTTCTTTTCAGTGAAGCCATCGGTGGTCTTACTCTAGTTCTAGAAGTACAACTAAGTAATTTAGATGAAGAACTACATAATAGAATCTTACACATTTAAGTGTAACTCCACCATCACAGTTGAATACCGTAGCTACAGTATCTGTCTGGCTAGGAATGAAGCAGAAAACTGCAAGAATCAACATACATCACATCCATTCTCTCAATGAATACACCAACACAGACTTCATACATACAGTATTTAATTAAAACAAGTACATATGACGACCAAATAAAAAGGCTCAACTTAGGACCAGGATCAGACAAAGACCAAAAAAGTATTTGCAAAAAAAAATGTGCATATTGTTACCAAAGCAATTTGTCATTTGTATCTTATTAAGTACGATATGCAGCCAACCATAATAGAGGTGCAGGGTTTGGAGATGTTCTGAGGAATCCTTTCCTAGGCAAGCAGGCACTGGTGACAACTGGACCACTGCATGTTGTTCTCTGTTTGTAAACCTCTTGCTGTAACATGTTAAGATCTTTCAATAAGGATCTTGAGAAGAAATGTATACATGCCAGAGCAGTGGTTCTAAATAGAATGCATTTTTGTCTAGGCCTGGAATATAATGGTTGGGCAGTGGTCTAGGCCTGGAATACATGCCAGAGCAGTGGTTCTAAATAGAATGCATTTTTGTCTAGGCCTGGAATATAATGGTTGGGCAGTGGTCTAGGCCTGGAATACATGCCAGAGCAGTGGTTCTAAATAGAATGCATTTTTGGGGGGGTCGTCACCACCAGAGTTACTTTCCAAATGGCACCCTATTCGCTATATAGTGCACTACTTTTGATCAGAGCCAATATTAGTGCACTACAAAGAGAATAGGGTGCCATTTGGTAGGGTGAACTAAAAAGAGAATAGGGTGCCATTTGGGACATCGGCAAGGAGTTTGAAAGCATTTACCATCCAACATGTGGCAAATGGTATTCAAATGGCTCTTACAGGATAGTAATTAAAAAGAAGAGGTGTACTTTGGGTGTCCCAAATGGCTCTGGTCAAAAGTAGTGCACTATATAGGGAATAGGGTGCCATTTGGGAAGCATCCCTGGTGTAACCCCAACAGCTAGTTGCTCAGAGCCTAAAGATCACTTTGTTTATTGCTGTTCACTTTGGGTAGAAGACCATCACTGAACATCTATCTACTAAAAGGTTTAAACAAAAGGGAACCAGGGGTGAAAATCCCATGCATTACAGTAAACTGTTTGCCACCTGAGGAGGGTGGCGGTCTAAAATATCAATTTTTTGGTTGTGCCACGCGAGTGCCTGCCTACCTTACCATCCCCACAAGCATTTTGGTCCTGACACCTCAAAACTGGTTGGTTCTGCATATTGTTGTGTTCTTATACTGTATGTCAGTGTCACAAACAGACAGCCAGGCACACACATACACACAGACAGTACAGTATTTTCATGTATCAATATATACGTATCAATGTAGACATGGGCATATTGCCCTCAATGTTTTGAAAGTAAGATCTTTGATTTACTTGTTTTCAGCACCATCAGGAAAAGGCACAGTCTACAGACTATTCTGTCCAAGGATAAACCTTCACCCCTTCCCCACGAAAAACTTTGAGAGATGCACACAATCAGACAAATGTTTTTGAAGGAAATTAACAATCAAAATGGAGGTCACATTCACTACAGGTTCTAGAAGACCAGGCTCTGTGAGATGAATGGAACCTACTGAATGGAAGCTAGGCTACTCTCCAGAGATTGTTAGTTCAATGAACAGAGAGGAGGGTGATGGGAAATAGCGGGAGGTTCATCCAATCAAATCAGTCACTACACAATAAGACAACAGCTGCCACAAAAAAACAAAATTCCCCCCACACAGTAGGTCATTTAAATGCAGCAGATGTAGCTTCGGTATGACACGCTTTGCTTTTAAGCTGTAACTTTATGGGCGACCCAACCAAATGCACATAGAAATGTGAGTTATAGATATGTCATTCTCATTGAAAGCAAGTTTAAGAAGCGGTTGATCTATTCTATGTGCGCTATTTCTAGGCTTCCCGTTCATAAGTTTCTGTTTGCAACGTTTACT